AAATTTCCAATTTTCATCGTTTCTCGAAATTTAGTACCGGAAATTAGAGTCGAAGAAAAGAGGACAGCAGCATAAAGCGTTCCTTATAACAAAATGACCGTCACTTATGATCACGAAGAATGTAAAAAAAAACAGAAGGAAAGCTTGAGTAGGCTTGGGCTGCGGGCTGAGAAAGCTGTGCTCTATCGCAACCGGTTCAAATTCAAATTCATATCTGCCTACTTACAAGGAGAGGATACCTAGTCGAAAACACCAATTCAAATAAAACATTATCATCTCAAAGCGCTTGAAACGCTGATCCCACATCTATAGTTTCTAGCTGCGGAACGGTTTTGTTGAAGGAGGTATGAGGGGTGTTCCATTCTGGGGCTGAGGCGCCCTCCAGCAGGTCTCTCCTTATCTATGAGCACTGTAGAGGAGTACCAAATGGTGGCACTGGCCTAGTGGAAACAACTTGCTTTATAGGGAAAGTGTCAAGATTTTAATCCCCTCGCATGCAACTTTATCGCAATCTTTGCAAAAATGAGCTTTCAAATGGCTTTGGAGCCCTAAAGCCTGACATTTCAGGTGATATTGATGCTAATCGAAGTTAGAAGTGTTAAAAAAATCAAAGCAATATGAGTATTATAATCCTTATTGTAATCTTCATTCAAATTACTTACCATTACACCCTTTTGTATTTCTATGATGCTCGTAGACAAGAGCCGACATCTGGGCCGGTAGTAATCCCCCCGACCTGGCGGCAGGTCTCGTCGGCAGATTGCTGGCACCTTTCCGCGAGGTGGCCAGAAACTAAGAACCGAAATTTAGGCCGTCCCAGGCTTTTTTCAAAAAATTTTCTCGATAAAGTTGCCGCCTCGACTCTGTAGAAAACTTCATAAAAATCTGCGGCTCCAGAAATCCTCCTTTAGTAAAATATCTGGAATTCCAGGAGGAGCTGCCGGCAACTTCGCATGTCAGTTGCCGGCAACCTGCCGGCAAGTTGCCGGAATCCGCGAGATGGCAGCTGCCGGCAGGTCAGAGAGCACGGGAAATAGCGTGCTCGTTTGAGAGAGCGAGCTGCCGGCATCTCGACGTGCCCCTACCACGTTGAGGTGGTGGCACCTTTGCCGACGGCGTCTGCGAGTTTGCGAATTGCGGCGATATCACACAATTTACGTCAGGCGAAAAATCAAAAATTCTACTTTTCATAGAAAAACTATCATTTTTCTCATTATATGGGTTTTTCTTTTTTAAAATGACAAATTTCTTACAGAGAAAAAATCCACTAATGCCTTAGAATCATATAGAACACGAACTGTTTTGGCAATCCCTTATAAATCTCGTTTGCACTGATTTCGCCCCTCTCTCGCTCATAATCAGCTGTTCTTTCAGGTCAAAGTCTCTCACGCAATGTATCGATCCCTCTTACAGGCAGCCATTTACCAGCGCGTTCCTCCTATTGCTGGTGCAAACGGGAGTGGTTGACCGAATGGTCGAATGGTTAACGTGGTGGCACTTCAAGTTAACGCACATAGGTTCGACCGCGCGCGAGGTAGCAATTTTGCGGCTGTATGCGTCAGCAAAATTCACTCTGCGAAATGATTGCGTGCTAAGGTTACATAAGATTATTAAAACCTACAATCACTCCGCGAGCTGCCGGTGGAGTTGGCATCTTTCCGCGATGTGTGCCAACTTGCCGGCATCTTTGATGCCACCAGGTAGGGTAGATTACTACCGGCCCTGAAGGGCGCCTCAACCCCAGAGGGGAACATCCCTCATAACTCTTTCTACAAAAATGTTCCGCAACTAGAAACTATGGATTTGGAATCAGCGTCTTAAGCGCTTTAAGATGTATACCCTCGATATCATCCCATATGTCTTCCCTCAACATGACGTGGATAACGTGGCTTGATGAGGCGCCGCCTCGCCTCAGGCTCGCGCCACGTTGCGAGCGCATCATTTGGCGCGACGTGGCGCTCAACACAACGTGGCGCAGGCTTTTCCACGTTCTTCTTGTTGCCACATCACGCCGAAAATGCGCACGCAACGTGGCGCAAGCCCGAGGCGAGGCGGCGCCTCATCAAGCCACGTAATCCACGTCATGTTGAGGGAAGACATATGGGATAATATCGAGGGTATGTTTCATTTGAATTGATGCTTTCGACTAGGTATCCTTTCCTTGTTAGCGACTAATGGGGTGGACGACATAGAATTGTTTATATCTCACGGCTCAGAAGACCTAGAGAAAATTCGACGGTCTACTCGACTTCCCATCTCTTAGAGGCATCGTCCACCCAAATTTTCGACTCCCACGTTTTTGTCGTTTCAGGACCTTCTCATGTCCCTGATTCCGAATATGAAGTCAAGAGTGCTCGAAAATCCCGACAATCCCCGTTTCGGAGACCCGCAGGCCGGCTTTCCGGAACGGTGATTGCATAGGCGCGCATAAATGGGCTGGCATGGATGGGGGTCCTCGTGCATCTTCGCTATTCCGAAAATATTTTCTCGCTTCCGAAGCGGCATTTTGCGCCGCGATTTAGGCATTGGATTTATAGGGGACCATACTATCATATACTGCCAAAAGCACAACACCCTCAACTTAAGGTGGACGGTGCCTTTAAACTTTCCAATGGTAAATAGAATGTTAGGCGAAATAATTTGCCAGTTTTGAAAAGGGTTGGAGGTATCTGCTATTAGTTTGCTCCACCCCGCTTCTCAAAGCATTGGCTTTTATGAGTCATAGGAGCAAGGATTTTTGTAGCCAGGAAGTGAAATGCCCCAGTAAGCTAAATACCATTCCAAAGTTGCGATCATGGAAAAATGATCGCCTTTTTTACCCCTTCTTGGCAATAGGGTATAACGGATTTTTCTGAACGATAACTACTAATTTTTGGCTAATAAAAATGCAATTTACACTATACCTACACAAATTCTAAAGAACAGCTAGAAAGGTCAAAGTACCCCTAGGGTCAGAGCCTAGAAAAGCTCATGAAACGAATGTACCCAATGACTGTAATCATTTTGACAAAATTTAAGCCGTAATCCACCACGTGGGCCACATTGTCCCGTTGGCGGTCATTGCATAACCACCGTGTGGGTCACGTTATCGTTAATGTGCTGATAACGTAATCCTGCATATCACGGTGAGCTTTTTTGTAATTTAGCACAAGACTTTAGATTTTCTGCAAGCATCCACCTGTATGAAGACTTATATTAGTTGGTTTTTTATTGCCTCCCTTACAAGTAAGCGTTCTATTTGTCCACCTATGTCAAAATGACAAGCCTTAGAAAACGTTAACTTGAAAATATTAGGTTGATGCATAATTTCTGCATCAAAATAGGTACAGATAATCTGGATTAATCCTATATCCCAAATAGGATTCGATATATCATTAGATAGAGCAAACCTAGCTCTACAAGAGTGCTCAGATATCTGCATCAGCTTTGATCCCCGCGAAGTCTCAGCCGAAAACAAAAACCATGCGTGCGAAAACCTTAAGCCAATCAAGCCTTCAATCCTCGCTTAGATCAAAGAAGCTGCAAATCTTCAAGACTATCTTGTAGAGCTAGGCTTGCTTTACCCAATGGTACATCGAATCCTATTTGGGACACAGGATTATTGCGATTATTGCGGTCTGTACCTGTTTTGGTGCAGGAATTATGCATCGACGTACCTAAATTTTTTTCTGAAGAAAACATGGGGTATTTATGTTTTTTTTATTCTTATATATTTAAATTATTTTTATGTTTTGAAGCTAGTTAACGCCTCGAAAGAATGCGGGAAAACACATCGTAATTAATATTGTAATCGATAAAATGTTGTTTTCATAGATGTCGTTGTTTTGTTACACGGCTGACGTGTTGAGTCTACAAAAGGTTTTTGATCATAATTCACTCTCAAATTAACTCTGCAAAGCCTCAGGTGAGTGGGGGGAGGGTCTGGCCCAAAAGTGAGGGAGAGGGGGGTAAAATCCATTGTTCCGCTTATACTATGCTGCAGACCTGAGTTATCAACTTGACTGAATCGTGTGACATGTTATTATTTCGGTGGAGCTGACTCTTTCTATGTAGTTGACTTCAACAAACTTTTACACTTTATTTTTGAGATAAGCTTCTTTCAGTTAATTTGTTCAGAAACTACCAAAAACATGAATTTTGCTTCATGCATGAAGGCGCGAGCTTTCACGTTTATTGGACTTTTTGAGTTTTCCCACGACTAATTCTTCGAGAGTGTATAAAAAGCCTGCATAATTTGCACAAATTTTCAAGCACATCCCCCAAAGTTGCACCGCTGTACCACAAAATCCTTAAGCAGGTGTTGTCATCGTAACTAAAGTAGATTCCAAGCTTTGCCAACATTTGTTCAAGGACTTCATAGTAGTGCAACTTTAACGCATGTCCGAAAGCTTTGAGGGCCTCCAGCAAATGCGATTGTAAAAAGAGGTCCAAAATGTTGCCAGAATAAGAAATCACCCTACTATTCGAAAGGCGCTTACACTGCATGGTTGCATTTGATCAGAAGAAAAAGCTGCAGAACCTAGAAGAGCCCATGGTTTCGCTCATCTTCCTTTCACTTAGAATCAACCGCTTCCAGAGGTCATTTTTTGTAAAAACAGATTGAAATTCTCTTGGGTGACTACTCCTTATTGTGGTGAGCATAATGCTTTTTCACAAACAAGGGTGCACCTTTGATCCGGCCAAAAATGAAGAGAATGATGAATAGACTAACGAAGCAGCAAGACTCGAAAAAGCAATATTTCAGTCTGATAGCGTTAGTAACGAGTTCAAGGATTTCTACCACCGTTTGAAGGTCGCTCAACTAGCGTTATCTTTGCAGACTAGCAAAGCGCTGAGTCCCACAATCGCAAGTTAGCGTACTCACGTATGCTTACTTGTTTTGCGTATAGCTTTTAACTGCTAGCTAAGCAAAGCTGCAAGATTTACAAACTTCTAGCTACCAACTTCAACTGCTTCAAAAATGAGGTTATCCTGTCTAGAAAAATACACAGAAGACTCACATTCTCATAGAAAATTCCGGAAAATTCTGAGCAGCTGGGAAGATGCAGAAATGCAAACTTCTGCGCTAGCAAAAAGTTGTACAAAAATTCCGCTCTGGAAGCGTTGAGTTTGCCTGATCCTGAAATCAAAAATCTAACCTCCTTGAATTCGGAGTAGGCTACAAAAATGGAGATGGGCATGAGCACGAAAGAGAGTTAGCGAGAAACTAAAGTTTGCATCTTCAAGACACTGCTTTCGTTTGTAGCGAGGTATTTCGACACCAATCTTCCGTAGATAGTGAGCAATACCCCTAAAAATCGTTGCAAAGTGCAAACATGAGCACAAATTGCATGACTGGATTGGAGAAGGTTGAAGCATAGAGAGTTATCCTCGGGAATGTAATAAATCTAAAGAGAAATCACTTGACTCGAGTTCTCCGCACATATGTAGACCAGTGGCGTACCCATGATTTTGGCTTGGGGGGGGGCGACAAAAATTTGCGTTAGCCACGCACCCAGAATAAATTTTTGGCACGCTTTTGAAATTTTCGGGGCCCCATGACCCCAAATATTAGAAAAAGGGGGCGTGGCATAAGCCAGCCCCCAAAAATTGTTTATGGATCAATTTTTAGAGCTGTCACCTCAGGCTTGAGTATAAAAAGAACCAAAGATCGATTATTGTAAGATTACGGTAGGAACTTCCATTATCCAACGCCATTTTGATTTAACTGTCGATTTTTTCTGAAAAATCTATACTTCTTAGCACGTTGATTCTGTCTGACTTTGTAGAGATTTTTGAAAGCTTCTAACCGGTGTGATCACTTTTTTTGGGGATTTCGAGAAAATAGCTGTTATGGGCGGTCCGAAGGGGGAGCGGGATGGCAGAATGTGCGAAATTTTTAAAATTTCCATATACGTGGATTATAAAAATGCGCAGGTAACTGCGTCAAGTCACCAGAAAGCTCAACCGTCGCCTAATCTTGTGCGTTTTCTCATTTCAAGAATAATCACTTCAGCTTGAAGCCAAAAAACCTTTTTTCCCTACTTATCACAAGGGAATGATCAGAAGTCGAAGTGGTCGATTCTATGTACTATATTTGGCTCAATGCCGAATTACATGCAACTACGTTTTTCCATGCCTCATACCCAAAGTTGAATATACGATTTTCTCGCTATAAAACTGCTCATCTTCGCCTGGGAAGGCGTTCAGCAGATAAGGAAGTCGAATCAAAGTCACGTTTAGCTGCATCCAGTGGTATGCAGCTTGTTTGGATTGGTCACTTCGACTTCTAAATATTCCGATGTCAGATGAACGTTAGCATATGCCAATGGAATTTATTTCTCATTCAATCAGGTTCTTGATTCTCGTACTTGTACAAATTGAAGATTGAGAGTGGCGTAAATCTTATTGTTTTGCGTCCGATTGCCTTCTTTCGCTGCCGTTTCGTCCACCCACCATAATGTTGAAATATGCAAGTAAATCATTACCTTTTTCCGCTTCTGCACCCTTTTTTATGTAACTTACTCCGCAAGCTTTTTCGTGCCAGTAAGCGTGGAAACATAACTCTCTCAACCAAAGCTCTCAGCAGGTTTCTGCCATAATTCCACTTCCAAGTGATAGTGGAAATTTGCAAATTCATCGACAATAAGAATAGTGAGCTTATTTTGTAAGCAAAAGATATTGTGGCGGAATAATTGTTGAAGTAGAGATTCAATGATAGCATCAAACTTCATTTGTTCCTTCTTTTACTTCAATAATTCAAAAAAGAACTCACCAATAATTGCCTTGACAACAAAGGCGGAAAAAAGTGAAAATGTTCCTATCGAGTCACGACTTGGGTAGACGAGAAAATTCTTGCCATGTTCTGTTTCCTCGATCAACTCTTCGTTGGCTTTTCCTGAACGGTTAGAAGTTTTTCTTGCCTCTAAGCGTAAGGGATAGGTGGAAAATTCCTTGCCATATTCCTTGTCGCTCAGCCCAATGTCTGTAAAAAGTAAGATGTCCTTTCTAGAAAGAAAGATTCTTCTTCAAATTTTGAAGCGGTAGACAAGAAATTCTTACCATTCTTAAATTCACCACTGGCATTTTCGCAATTATTCTCAATCCCCAAATGTAAAAGTACGAAATCTGCTTAGCCTTTGAGAAAGATTGCTTATCATCAAAGACTGGCTATTGTCTACATTTGATTGGGGGACGAATTGCCTACTCAAATGCTAATTTAGTTCCTGCTTAAAGATTGGATATTACGCATATTACTGCTTATACGCAATTTCTAATCAACTTATGTAAATTATGCATTATTTATTGTCGAGGCTGCGTCGGCACCTTCAATGATGATTTTGGGCAGCTATTAGATGCTTACCCGATCATTGTTAAAGCACAGACATCTATAGCATGAGCGCTTAAAAAGCATTGAAGATCTTTCTCAAAGTGATAGCATGGTTTGAAAAAATGGTTTGCTATGTTAACATATAGGCCATTTTTGCTTGTGGTGTTAAATTTTTCCGAAGGTCGGTTCTTAAGCTTCACCACATCTTGCCCATATGTTTGATTGTAAATGACTTTCTTGTAAAGTCTTCCGAGAACTCTAGGTAGTGTTTGGTAGAGCTGGCTTCAACTTCGCAGAGAATCGCCAAAGGCAGCAGGTCATACGATTTATGGACAAGCGGGTACCGGAAAAACAGTTCGCTGATTACTTGCGTTCTGCTTGCAGATGTTTGCAATTGGTCAATTTTTGGAAATGCTCGAAAAATAATTGGGGCTTTTTTCTTAGATTAGTTGCGGCGGTGGCTGCATTTTCGTGGACTTTCTGAGAGATAATGATGCAGAATTATTGGGGGTCACACGGTCCTTTGTGAAGGACCGCACACCCACAACCCAACCTTTCGCTGAGAGAAAGTATCTCGAACTCGGGTAAGAAAACATCGATGACACCCCTTCCATTTAGAGCGTTACCTTATCTCGGCGAATGCCCACTGGGTAGCAAAAGCCCAAGCGCTCGAAAATCTGGCCAGCTCTCCTGAAAGCAATGATTTGACGACTGTTCGCAGAAAATTCTCTATTGATGCACTGGCAGAACATGCGACAGTGAAGAAAGTGCCGCTCTCCGAAAGAGTGACCATGCCCAAAATTTTGCTGACCGCCTTGAAAGAAAATGCGAGTTTGTCCCCCCCCCCCACTCGGAGATTACATGAGTTAGATTTACAGTATGCGAGTCATCGATTGCTCTTCATTACTTTAGGATTACGGTAGAAATTTCAAATATATGGTGTCACTTTGAAAAAAATTGGCGTTTCAAAAATTTTCAAAAATGAACTTGTGTTATAGGGTTTTCATGGACGCTGTTTTCAATACTCAACTGTGTACAAGATTGCGAAGTTTTCTAAACGTGTAACCGCACATTTTAGGCACTTGAAAAAACGGCCGCTACTACTTACCTCATAACTTTTCAATAGAGCATGAGTTCCGAACTTTACATTTAGAATCAGCAACTCTAATTAGCCCAGTGTGGAAGTTTTCAGATTGTTTTGTTCCCTTCCTGAGGCAAAATATGGCCTTTCATGGCTCAAAGCCCTCTTCAAGTTTTCTACCGTAAATCCTACAGACGGAAAGCGGTCAGTAATTCGCTCTATACCGCAAATCCAATACGGGAATATTGAGAAATCGAAGTGGCCAATTCAAGCAAGCTGCATATTACAAGATGCAGCATAAAACGCTGACTCTAGGTCTGTGATCCTTATCTGCAGAACACTTTTGTGATTGAGATAAGCCGTTAAAGGCCATTATTTTGCTAAGAAATTGAAAGGGCAAACTTGGCCGTACAGAACCATTCCTGGCTCAGTGCTAGACGAAAACATGCAGCTAGGTCACTTAATATGGCCAGTACCTCAAGGTGAGCGAAGAGCGCAATAATGTGCCTAATCTCGCACTTTTTGTGGACGATTTTTTTCGCATAAAGCTGGTCATAACTTCACTTATATGCGCTCTGCAGATACGGAAAACAGATTTGAAATCAGCTTCAAAGTTGCATCGATTGGTATGCAGCTTGTTTAGATTGGTCCTTGTTTGGAATAGTCACTTCAACTTCCGACCATTTCCTTTAAGTGAACCCAGCTCTACAAAATGTTTGCAGAAAAAGGGACTTAAAGCTTCTTGAAAGACTTCATTACAAGAGAGTTATCAACAGTCAAACAGTAGGCGCATTTTTGGGACCCTTTTATAACCCACTATCGGTCACGGTAACCGGGGGGGCGGCATAGGCAGTGAAAATTGCATTCGAGCGCAAAAGCGTCTGGTGGTCAGACCTCATCTAAGAGACTCATGCTTCATTTCAGTTGTTTCTACCCTATTTTAAGCAGTGGTATCAACGCAGAGTACTCTCTAAAGGCGAACGAGCCAAAAGAGTGACTGTCATCATGGAGCGCGTTAAGTGAGAACAGTATGCGATAAGGCGACCGCTTCGCGAGACATATGCGCGGCGGCATGCCTGGGTCTGCTCGCGTTTAGAGCAAAAAGTGTGCGGCTTATACACCTGAAAATAGGGAGTTCATCCTAGATTTCTTCAGGTAGCTCGTACTCTTCACTCTTAGTTTTGAATGCAGGCGAGAGTATGTAACCTGTTTTCCATTTTTCGGACAAGATCAGCATCGGCACCGCTTCATTCTCCTTGCTTTCCCACGCTAACAGACCAGACACCAGAGTTGTCTGTCTAAAAATTTCTACGGACCTCCAACTTGCTCACAAACATACATCCCTCACCAAACATTCATGTGCACAGTTGCTGCACTTTTTCCTTGGCTAAATACCGAAAAATTTAAATTTTCCAGGCCTCCGCTAAAGTGATGCTGAGATGTTCCTGCCAAGTAATGTTATACTATTAGGTTGGGAAGTACAACCGTAGAATTTCAGCCCTCAAGAGTTAATTCTAGAAAATTATTGAATTTAATTAGAAGAACAGAAAAAAGAAAGTTGAGTTCGATATGTCGCAAGAACTAACTTTTGTAAGAGACTGAACTTCTATAATTGCACTTCGTAGCTAAGTATTACAATTACTTATCGAAAACAGCCCAGCACCACTTTGACAAAAGCATAAAAGTTTTTAAATTACGTTAGGCAAGAAAATATTACAGCAGTTGCGCATATGGATGTTTGGTGAGGTTTATGTCCCTTGTGAGCAAGTTGGGAGTCGGTAAAAATTTTTGGACAGAGATACGATTTTTTTGACTTTTTGGCCGGTTGTCTTCGAACTTGACATGCTTCAAACTTGATGGGAATGCAATAATGCCATTTTGTAAAGCTCCTGCTTTATCGAATGGTATCCCAGTGCCACTCTCAGAATGTGCAAAATTTCCGTGAATGTCGCGGAGTGCTGGAAATTCCGCGAAAGCTTGCGACATTCTCGGAATTCTGCGACATTCCAGGAATTCCGCGATCCATGCGAATCACGAAAACTACGAGTGCCCTAACTATCGGAATTCATATATTCTGAATCCGAAAGCAGCATCGATTTTTGATGTACAGCATGTCCTGGATACTCCGTTTCCAGTTCCAAATTTTTCTGCGGAGGTCCGTTTGCAATGATGTAACGCAGCGCCCATCCAACACAAAAGATAGCAGTTGGTACTATTTGGTAGTGCTGTTCCTGTAAATTATAGCTGTGGCCGTTAAAGTGTAGCCGCAAACTTCTTTCCAAAGGAGGTTACAAGCAGTGGTGAATTCTTAAGAAATCACGCGTTTCCAAAATTCGTCATTGCTTCCTTCAGGATAAATGTATTCTGAATCCGAAAAAAAACCTCGTGCTCAATGTATCAAGGCAAATCTTTGAAATAGAGCATTTTCAGTATTCCTGAATCTTTCTGCGGACGTCCCTTCGCGACGGTGTAAAGCAGCGCTCATTGCCCTAGTAGACTCGTAAGGACAATCCGATGATACTTTTTTTGTAGATTATAGATCGCTAAAAAGTATCTGTTATCAAGTCTGTGCACATCGCATCGCTCAGTGGATCTTACTGAGTTGGATTTGGTAATTAGGTAGATGTGAGCTTTAGCTACGAAGCTTTAATGTCCAGTTAAGCAGCTCAAGAATACGCAACCACCGTATTCAATACATTGGGATTCCTTGGTCGAACTGAACGTAATATTTGCGATCAGAATGTCACACAACCACTTGGTGGAGTTTCGACGAAGTAAGCCACGTCTACATTTCGGGCAAAATCTATGAGGACGTGTTTTCGAGGCTCTTAACTCGGCGATTTTTATAGACTGGAGACTGAGACATTCATCATTCAATGGCACAGTTCGTACTGACTTTAACATTTAAAGCAAACAAGCAAGTTCTCTGACAGGTACGCGAGAAGAGCAGGCAATGTGACCAACTTTCATGACTCAGTTACACTGACCTCACAATATCTCTGCAAGAAGACCCTGTATTCCTCAAATACCACTATTTTCTTAAATAGCGTGTCCAAAAACCTCTACAATCGAAGTTTTCTTACAATTCAAGAGCATCAGCATTGTGACCAAAATCCATGAGCTGAGCTTGAACTTGAGCTTCCAGAAGGTAAAATGAGAAAAGATAAAATAACCCTAGCATACCGGAAAACTTGCCCAAAGAGATTATTCGACCTACTGATTTCAAAACTCACATCTGCTTAGCAAGATAGCTTCGCATTCTAGAGTTACGGCGAGTAGAATTTGGGGCGACAAAATTTCTACACAATTCACCAGCCCTTCTATCTCCCTCGGAAAGAAGGTCTGCGGACACCATTTAGCGATCCGTAAATACAGAAGAAGTACTATTGAATCCTTACTGAAATCTACTAGAGGCAATGAGCGCTACTTTACACCGTCGCGAAGAGAAGTTCGCATAAAGATTCAGGAATACTGAAATTGGAATATCAAGGGCAAGCTCTATAACAAAGATTCGCCTTAATGAGCTGAGTACAATGCTTTTTTCGGATTTAGAATACATTTATTATGAAGGAAGTAACTACAATTTTTGGAAACGCGTGAACTTCCCAGAATTTACTAACGCTTATACCTCCTTTGGAAAGAAGTCTGCGGCTACACTTTAGCGGCCACATGCTATTATTTACAGGGACAGTTCTATCGAATAGTACAGTCGAATCATTTCATATGATCATGTGTGCCATTGCACACAGAGTCCACCTTTGGCGTCCTCTTCCTGAATTTCCAATCGCAAAAACGCAGGAGACTTACCAATTGCTATCGATTACATCAATTTGAAGATTAGTAACTAAAAAGGAAAGAAAGTGTCAAGAACACAATGAAAACACTTACCTAGAGGGTTGATTCCTCCAAGAGGCCGGGATAGGAACGCCAAAGGTGGAGTGTGTGTGCAATGACACAGTGATCATACGAAATGATTCGACTACCTACTGCTATCTTTTGTGTTGAATGGGCGCTGCGTTACATCTTTGCAAGCGGACTTTTGCAGAAAAATTCGAGAAAACTGAAAACGGAATATCCAGGACATGCTGTACATCAAAAAATTCGATGCTGCTCTCGGATTCAGAATAAATGCATTCCGGTAGTTATTACTGGCAACACCATTGCAAAAATAGAAAGCGACACTCTTTCTTTTACAACCACTTACTAGGCCGGCTTCGATTGTACATGATGTCCGAAAAATTTCGTAGCCTAGTATTTTTTTCACATAGACTAAATGGAACAACATAGGGATATAGGAATTCGGTGCACATACTTAAAAGATAATTAATGCAAACAGCATTCGAATTTCGTGCTAGGATTCCTTCTTTTTTTAAAGGCAGTGTCCGGGCAAAAACTCGATTTTGAGATTTTGTGCTTACCTGGGCCTATTCGCTATGCTGAATTCGAAAATCACCACTGGAGAGCGCGAAAACGGCAAAAAAGGCTCTAACGGAGGAGGGAAATTGCAAGTGGGCGGGGCTGTTCACATACTCAGATAATCGCCGGGGGCAGGCGGTCCGCAAACTCGCGCTTTTCTGCAGGCGGTCAGCAGGATTTCGGGGCGTGGCCAAATCTTCAGCGGGCGGTATTTCCGTTTTCTGCAAGCGGGCATCAATACAAAATTTTCTGCAAGCGCTCGTCAAACAATCTCTTTCAGCGAGCGCTGGCCAAACTTTCAGCAGGCGCTCGGACTCTTTTTACGCGGTTTCGGGCATACGCCGAGAAAAGATGAGACTCTATGTGGCAGAGGTGCCATCGATGGTTTTATTACCCAAGTTTGGGGTACTTTCCCTCAGCGGAAAGTACCTGGGGGTTGCGCGGTCCTCCACAAAGGACCGTGCGGCTCCCAATAATTTTGCATGTTTTCGCGGAATGTCCGCGAGAATGCGGCCACTGTGCCGCAACTTATGTATAGAAAAAGCGCGGTAGATCTTCGAGCGTTCGTCTAAAAATTGGCCAAAATTATTCCAAATTTCTGCAAGCGGACCACAAAAAATCAGCGAACTATTTTTCCGGTGCCCGCTTGCTCCAAATTCGCATGGCCGCTTGCCCCCAGCGATTATCTGAGTAGTGGTGTCACTTTCACAGCTTCAGGAGCGATCTTCTCGCTTCCACTAACCGCACTAACATCACCACCACCCAACTGCGAAACGCATGACATAAAATCGGAACTGAAAAGATTGCTCCTAAAGCCTGGGAGAGTGACGCCGCGGTGTAAACGGCCCCGCCCACCTGCGATTTCCCTCCTCCGTTAGAGCCTTTTTTCGCCGTTTTCGCGCTCTCCAGTGGTAAATATCGGATTCAGCATGGCGAATAGGCCAGAGTAAGCACAAAATCTCAAAATCGACTTTTTGCTTGGACACTGCCTCTAAGGAAGCCTAGAAGCTGTTAACGATAGTCACTGCCGTGGCACGCAAGTAACATCAGTAATTTCGTCTCACGTCTATTCGACAATGGTTCCCGTCGCTTAGAAAAGGTGCAGTATGATAGAGCAAGCTTCTAGCTATAATATACTTTTAAAAAAATTATATTAAAATTTTGGATTGATATTGTGGAAATTCGAATGCAGGCATGTGTGGATTTCATGCTGAAGTTTTGGACACAATTGCGAGATATGAAAATAAAGATTTCGTTACAATGTGTTTCGAAAACAAGTTCGTCATTCAAGTCAAACTAGACTCATCTAGAATACATAAAATGAGGAAAATATTTTGAAATTAGTGACTACTGCACTTCTATGGATTTAGAATTGATTTCAAAGGCAAAGAAGACGTGGCACGCATTCAAAGTTTCCACATTTTTCTGCCTGTCTCAGTGAAAGAAGTATGGTACTATTATCGTCAGCAAACAAATGCTGACAATAATAGTTTTGCTCCGGCGACCCATAGAGAGCCGGAGCGTGTTGGAGCAAGCTAGTATTCAATATCTCCATCTCATTTTTGAAAAGCCACAAGGTTTTTCACTCAAAACCTACATACCATTAAAAGCCCACAAAAAAGGTATTCGACATAGTCTCTTTTTCTTTAGCTCCCCTCTACCTAGAGAGACATGGCATTTTAGCTAAAAGTATGTGTTTTTGTCAAGAAATTCCTGCATGAAGAATGAATGAAGGTGCCTGATTGTCTAGCAATATCACAGAGCAGGACCTTGCCAGTCAACGTAAACCGTCTCTTTTTTCTATCGTCCTCCTTTTTCAAAAATGAAGCACAAAAAAACTACACAACATTCGCAGGTGAGTAGGCGTATAAAATTGCACGTACCTCGATTTACAGAGAAGCTATGAAAAATAGCCAATACATTGGGGGAGCTGGGTGGAGGAACTAATAGTAAATATCTCCACCCCATTTTTAGAAACTGAAAGTTTTTTTGCCCAGCAGTCGATATACCATTCGAAACTCAGGAAAAGGAGATTCGAATTACACCATCGACTTCTTTCCAGCAACCCTTTACTAAGAAATAAACTGCATTTTATCTGAAATCATTTACAGAGCAGGTCTTCTTTAAAAGCAGTGTCCCGGCAGATTCGGGGGATTTTGGGGGATTTTGCTAGAGTGGGGTCCCTGGTCATCCAACTGACCCCCACGCGCAGTCTGGCTGGCCGATGTTCCCCTGAGCCGAGAAAATAGCCCTTGAACCGGCGCGCGCAACCTCAATCGGCGCGAGCTCGGACGACTTCACTCACCGTTCGGCCCGGGACCCTACCACCGCTCTCCTGCTTTGTGCATGCTATGCAAAGCAAAAATTACAGGCACCAGGATCTTCGTGCCAAGGCCTCCCAACTTCCCATTGAAATTCTCGTCCAAGCTGCCTTTTGGAAATTGGGTAGACGCCCCGAAAAAAGTCTTTTCACACGTTTCAAAGCTGAAATTCGGGGTCTACGGGTCGAAAAGGCCCAAAACATGCAAAAAGATAAAAATGCAAAATCTGCCGGGACACTGCCTTTAACAAACGTAGACCGTCGACTTTCTCGTAGCATTCATTTAGAGAGCAGAAAGTGAGGATACAAACTTAGTTGATATATGAAGTACATAAAGTGCCTCATATCTCGGGACACAGAAAACCCAAAAAAATCGACAGTCTACTTTCGTTCTACATGATCTCAGCTTTCGAATGGTATGTAACTTGTTGGGGCATTTTGCTTTCAGGGCTCACTTCCCCCTTCACCTTACAAGGATGGGAGTGGCAGAGATCCCCTTCACCTGGAGAGGGCCCGGCTCCCCCTACACCTATGCTTGAAAGTAACGGCTTGGAATTTCCGTTTTTTTCAAAAACATGTGAAGATCATATTAGACTCGCAGAAATTGTTATGAAAAGGATGTTAGCATTTTTCTGATAAAGAATGATAGCAACATTCTGTGGCATAAATTTGAAACCAAAATCTTTTGTAATTTTTGAGTTATTGCAGTCCGAACTTAGGCTACCTGACTTTTTGAAACATCCTGTACGAAGTGAAATTTTCGCATTTACTTTTTGGCAGATTTTTATGCAGCACAGTTTTATATAGCCGCAGGAACAAAAACGTTTTGAGTTGAAATCTCTCACGATCAGCTCAAGGTTTTTAGAAAGCTAGTATCAATAAGCATATGTAGCTCAAAACCTTGCAATCATCATGCATATTTTCAAAAACAAATCCGACTGTTCTTGTTGGATTAGAGCCAAGACAGCGGGAGTATAGTATTCTAAGCTTTACGCCTCAACAAGAGCTTGTCTACTCAATCTTATATGGATTGCTTAAGAATTAATTTTATCTCTTTGATAAAAAAACTGTACCATCTTTTTAGGGAGTATTCGTAAATGCTCACCTGCAAAGTGCTCGGTATTGTTTTCTTTGACCCTGATAAATTGCCTTGTTGGAGATAAACTTTTGCTGAAAACAATAAATTGATAACAGAAAATTATGATCCTGTGCCAATTTGCCAAATTGGATGTAGTAAGTGCTACTTTTGAATTCTTACGAACTAGATATGCGTTCCAACAACATCTACGTATTTCAAGGTTGCAGCTGAAAGATATGCAGTCCTGCCACAAAAACTACTCCTTATCATATACCGCACCAAATCCAACCTTTTGGCAAACAGGTGCCTCAAACCTACTACGAAATCCTTTCACATTCAGTAGTTCGATACTAAACGCGTATTCAGAGCCAAACCTCCAAGTTTGGTTAACCAGTGATGTCGACAGAACGAAATCGACCGCATTGTAAGTTGATTCACAAATGAGTAGCGAGCTTTGAGCTATGTCTAGTGTGGCGCAAGGCAGCGATAGAGTTGAAGGCAGTGGCTCAGCGGATTGACCTTTGGGTTATTTATCGTTCTTGACCTCTGGATGAGCTGAGTCTAAAACTGCTCTGCAGCTTTGGAAGACATCAATCTATATATATATATATAAAACTCAATGTCTGTGAGGATGTTCGTTTAGTTGTTCGTTCGTTATAGGAACGCACGCCACTGAACCGATCCGGCTGAAACTTCGCATACGTATATTTTCGATCCCGGCGGTGGTTTAGAGCTACTTTCCGCGGCGATTCGCCGGGCCATTCTATCGATTTATTGATTTGTTTACTCCAACTTAAGAAAATGAAGGGCCATCATGGCAACCGATCATTTTTACATATAAGCATGTAAGCAGGGGCGGTAAAGTTCATTTCAGCCTTAAAGTTGGTAGGGTGCGGCAATTAGTCTGAAAGCGCTTTATGCGCATGTTAGAAGAAATCTAGAGGCGTAAGTTTACAAGTTCTGTTGGCTTAAACTTGAAGTCTCGGGTGAGACCGGGGCCACCAGCTAGTAACTAAACAATGTTCAAATGTTCACAATGTTCCTGTTCAAATCCAAAACCTTCTAGAACGAAAAATAAGCTTTTTTCTCGATTGCTTGACCCCTTGAATAACCACCTTCACAGGAAAATTT